TAACACGGACTGGTCTATCTCGGAATTCACCTTAGTTTTTACTGAAAATTACCCAGATTGACTCAAATTTAGAGATTAATAACTAGATTGACACCCTAGTTTTGTAGTTTACTAGACTAACACAAATTTTGGGTAAAATGACCAAAAACCCAATTCAATTTTATTAGGCTTTAAAAAAAAATCAAACAATATAACATTTAAATTAGAATTACAAAACCCTAACAAAACAAAAAAAAACAACTAGCCCTAAATTACGACTGCCTTTCACGTTTTTTTTCTCAGCCTCATTTTTTTTTTCTCAGCCTCATTGATTAAAACTCAGTCACTTTCGCGACTCCGATGAAGACTTACGGTTTGTCATTCTTAAAATATGTAGTCCATCATGAAAAGTCTGTCATTAAATAGGTATATAAAATCTGTCATAATATGAATAAAAATTAAAATCTGTCATTGCTTAAAACATATCTGTCATCACTATATGAAGTCATTCTAGCAATTTCTTTTTTCATCACTAAATCTGTTGTAATGTGACAGTTTTTTTTGAACTAATCCTAAATCTGTCGTAATGTAAATAAAATCTGTCATCACAGAAATATTTCATTTGCGATTGTATGTCAATCTAGCAATTTTTTTTTTGTATGACAAATCTGCTATCACTCGACAGTTTTTTTGTTTAAAAAATAAAAATTGTCATAACATTAAAAAAATCTGTTATCACTACTAAGTCATTCTAGTAATTATTTTTCCAAAAACAAATCTGTCACTTGATGACAGATATTTTTATGAAAATAAAAAGTCTGAGGCCACTATAAACATAAATCTGCCACTAATTTTAATAAATCTGTCAAAGTGATGAAAGTCTGTGGTGTCATCAAAAAATAAGTCTGTAGTGGAGTAAAAAACTACAACAAAATAAATATCTGTCATAACTTGTTAAATTAAGTCTGTGAGAGATAAAAAATCTGTCACAGAAAATATGTCGTTGATAAATAAGTCTGCCATTGAAAATAAACCTGTCATAACGAATCCAGCAGACTTTTAAAAAGCTAAAAAAATTTCCTAAGTTTTTTTCACGTTTTTCGAAAAAAATTTGAGGGCAAATTTGACTTTTTTTTTTCTAACAAAGAGAGAAAGGGTATTATCGTCATGAAAATAACCCATCTAACCCCCTAATTTTATGAGACATTCTAGTAATTAAAGTCATTATTTGGGTCAATCTAGTAACTTTAATGATTTTGATGAGTTAAGAGGAAATCATGAAAAAAGAGGTGGTAAATTAAGACATGCCTCTTCTTTTATCCCCTTTAATTTAATGATTGAAGATTGTGGCCTTGTGGAGTTTCCACATCTCGGAGATTGGTTATCTTGGAGGGGTTGGCGGAATAAAAAACCAATACGGTGTCGACTGGATAGGGCTCTAGCTAATGAAGAATGGCATGATTTATTTTGTAATTCTTTCATTGAGTACTTACCAATGGTAGCTTCGGATCATTCACCTGTGGTAGCTACGATTGCGGATAAGATACCTCATGAAAAACAAAGTTTTAGGTTCGATAAGAGATGGATTGGAAAAGAAGGGTTATTGGAAGCAATTTCAAATGGTTGGAATTTAGATCCTGGTTTGCGAGATGGACAATTTGTTGAGAAATTGACTAATTGTAGGCGAGCTATTTCTCAATGGTAGAAAGAGTTAACTCTTTATGGAAGGAAAACAATAGAGGAACTGAAATCTGAATTAGCGGTAGCACAGAGAGACGATACGAGGACACGAGAGGAGATTACAGATTTAACAATGCTGTTGAAAGAAGCTTACCGAGATGAAGAACAATATTGGTATAAAAAAAGTAGAACTCTATGGATGAATTTAGGGGATAATAATTTGAAATACTTTCATGCTCTCACAAAACAGAGACATGCGAGGAATCAAATTAACGGGCTACATGATGAAAATGGGACATGGTCTGCGGAGGATAAAGATATTCAGAACATAGCGGTCTCTTATTTTAAGAATTTGTTTACAACAACTAATCCTCAGGCTTTTGAGTAGTCATTAGCAGAGGTTAAATTGAGGATAACAGATCAGACGAATGATTTTTTAACAGCATCTGCGATCGAATGTGAGGTGCGATCGGCTTTATTTATGATGCACCTAGAGAAAGCGCCAGGGCCAGATGGCATGACAGCTTTGTTTTTCCAGAAAGCTTGGGATACTATTAAAGCGGATCTGTTAATTCTGGTTAATTCTTTTTTTGCAAGAGGGAGTTTTTGATAAGCGGTTAAATACGACTAATATATGTCTTATACCAAAAACAGAGCGACCCACTCGGATGACGGAATTACGACCTATTAGTCTTTGTAATGTTGGATATAAAGTAATTTCAAAAATACTTTGTCAAAGACTGAAGAAGGTTCTTCCAAACCTTATTTCGGAAACCCAATCTGCTTTTGTAGAAGGGCGACTGATCTCGGGCAATATTCTTATAGTGCAGGAGATGTTCCATGGGTTGAGAACTAACCCATCCTGTAAAGAGAAATATATGGCTATTAAAACAGACATGAGTAAGGCATATGACAGGGTCGAATGGAAGTTTATAGAAGAATTATTACGGAAGATGGGTTTCTGCGAAAACTGGATTTCGTGGATGATGTGGTGTATTACAACACTCCAATATAGGATTCTCCTTAATGGTTAACCTAGAGGTCTAATAATTCCAGAAAGGGGGTTAAGGCAAGGAGATCCATTATCTCCCTATTTATTTATTCTTTGTACGGAGGTACTCATTGCAAATATTCAAAAAGCGGAACACGAAAAGTTGATTACTGGTATTAAAGTATCAAAATCTAGTCCTTCGGTATCTCATCTTTTATTTGCTGATGATAGTATGTTCTTTTGCAAAGCCAATATAGATCAATGTGTGGTAATTTTGGGGATCCTAAAGCAATATGAAGCGGTTTCGGGACAGCAAATTAATTTTTCAAAATCATCAATTCAGTTTGGTCATAAGGTGGATGACTCTATCAAGGCGAAAATAAAATCAGTTTTGCGTATTAATAACCTTGGGGGTACGGGCACATACCTTGGTTTACCGGAAAGTCTAGGTGGATCGAAGACAAAGATTTTTTCCTTTGTTAGAGAGAGATTACTGACTAGAATAAATGGATGGTCGGCAAAATTTGTATCGAAAGGCGGGAAAGAGGTTATGATCAAATCGGTAGCTGCGGCATTACCAACTTATGTTATGTCTTGCTTCAGACTACCAAAAACGATCACTTCTAAACTTACAAGTGCGGTCGCTAAATTTTGGTGGAGTTATAATGGTGAAACGAGAGGAATGCACTAGATGGCTTGGAACAAGCTATGTAGTAGTAAATCAGACGGTGGGTTGGGATTTCAGAGTGTAGATGATTTTAATTCGGCTTTATTAGCGAAACAATTATGGCGTTTGATTACAGTTCCTGATTCACTCTTTGCAAAGGTTTTCAAAGGACGCTATTTTCGGAAATCCAATCCTCTGGATACTATAAAATCTTACTCTCCTTCGTATGGTTGGAGAAGTATTATGTCAGCTAGATCTCTGGTTATTAAAGGACTTATTATTAAAAGAGTCGGTTATGGGGCGTCTATCTCAATTTGGTAAGACCCCTGGATTCCAGCTTAATTCCCGAGACCAGCAAAAAATAATGGGTTAATTATTGACTCATCTTTGAAAGTCAAAAACCTTATCGACAGCCGGTCCAATTTTTGGAACATTGATCTCTTGAATGAGCTCTTTGATCCGGAAGATGTCGCGCTGATTAGTGCCCTACCTTTGGGTGCGCCAACTCAGGAGGATACCCTCGGTTGTCATTTCACAAAAACCGGAAAATATACAGTTAAATCTGGTTATCACACGGCGCGGCTAGAGGATTTAGAAGCTAATTTATCGTTTATTGGCCCAGATTTTAAATCTCTAAAAGCACATACTTGAAAAGTGTAGTGTCCGCCTAACTTACGTCATTTTATGTGGCAAATTATATCGGGTTGTGTACCGGTTACAGAAAATCTGGATGTGGCAGATGTGGTGCGATAGAGGAATCAATTAATCATACACTTTTTGAGTGTCATCCAGCAAGACAGATTTGGGCATTATCTCAGATTCCTACGGCTCCAGAAAATTTTCCAACGGCTTCAATTTATGCGAATTTGGATCAACTTTTTTGGAGAATTCCTTCGGAGGTGGATTCATCTTCATTTCCATGGATAATTTGGTATATTTGGAAAGCTAGAAATGAAAAAATCTTTGAAAATGTGGATAAAGACCCATTGGAGGTTTTACGTTTAGCGGAAAAAGAGGCGCAATCGTAGCAGTTAGCTCAATTCGAGCTTATTAATGAAAATCGTGGTCCTTCAAATTGCGAAACATGAGCTCGAGTGAGAGATATTTCACATGATACTATCTACTCTGGATATCGTTGTTTTGTGGATGGATCATGGAAAGGGACTGATAAATTTTCAGGAATATGGTGGTTCTGCACATCATCAAATGGAGAGACAGCAACTATGGGAGCAGCCAATATCCGACGAAGTCTCTCACCTCTACATACCGAAGTGGAAGCTCTTCTTTGGGCGATGAAATATATGATTGGAGCCGACAACCAGGATGTAGCTTTTTATACAGACTGTTCAGATCTGGTGAAGATGGTGTTTTCTCCAACCGAATGGCCGGCCTTTTCAGTATATTTGGAAGAATTCAAGAGCGACAAGAAAGAATTTTCAACCTTCTCTTTATCTTTAATTTCTTGTAGTGCAAATGTTAAAGCGGATAATTTGATACGAAAAGTTCGTACCAAACCGCATCATATCACTTATGTAAACAACATTCTCCAAGTGGTTTTTTTTTTTATTTTTAATTAAAAACTGTTGAAAAAAAAAATATTAAACGGCAAAAAAAAAATGCCGGCTTTTTCGGATTTTTTAGCCATCGTATGAAATTCAATCAAATAAGTTCTAACCTTTTGACCAAAAAAAAAAAAAAAAAAGTTCTAACCTATCCTCTTCTTTCATCTATCAACTCTCTCGCCGCCATTAGTAGATCCAGTAGCTCAGAGGTGACATTCTTTCGGCCTGTGTTCTCCTTTTTCTTAGAATCCTAGGTGGGTTCCTGGTTTGGGAATTATCTATCTGAATATTCTCCGTTACATGTATGCCGAGAACTCGAGGGGAGTTGGCCGAAAACGCAGGCCCGGCGCGGAGGCGTCCAGTCGGAAGGAAGCCCTGGTGCGGCTGAAAGCTAATCGGAAAGGAGGACGTCGGAATGGTGGCGGGTGCGAGATTAGGTTGGAAAAGCCTATTTTCGACACAGTTGGTGATGAGGAGTACCAAGCACTTGTTTCCCGACGGCGTGAGGAAGCTCGTGGGTTTGTGGTCGAGGATGGCGATCTGGGATATGTCGACGAGGGAGAGGAGGAGGATTGGTCGAAGCCCAGTGGTGGAGCAGAGTCGACGGATGGTGAATCGGACGATGGTGGCGGGAGACTGCAGAGGAGGAGGAAGACTGAGAAGAAGAAGGTGAATCTGTCGCTTAAGGCTGCGGCTACTATTACAGGTGAAGGGAGACTTTCTTCCATGTTCACATGTTCGAGTTTTAAGAAGACTGATAAGGTAAAATGTGAGAGTATTCTTGATGAGGTATTAGCTGAGGTTAGTCCAGATGATATCGATAGAGAAAGGCATCATAAGCGAAGGAAACAACAACCAGCTACACTGAACAAGAAAAATCTGGGAATGGAAATGCTGGATTCACCCTCAATTGTTTCCATGGAGAAAGAGCAAGCTACCTCGGGAATGGAAATGCAGGATTCACCCTCAATTGTTTCCATGGAGAAAGAATTTCAAGTCATCCCTCCGCATGATTCTAGACAAAGTGATGCCAATGAAGTGTTTACATTGAATGCCTTAATTGATATGGAAGACAAGGACCCTGCTTTTACCGCCACTGCTGGTTGGAAGGAAGCCATGGGCAAAGGTGGAACTTATGAGAATGTGGTTCCACTTGCTTCTGCTGTGAATGAATGCCAAACGGAATTTGATTTGGATGCTCATGGATCACTTCTTTTTTACATTCTTGACGCTTATGAGGAGCCTTTCGGCGCTAGTATGGGTACAATACATCTGTTTGGGAAGGTGACTCTCTTCTCTTTCCGGCTTGTTCTTCTTTTGCCTTCTGGAGATTTATTCGGATACACTCTCAGGTTAAAATGCGAGATACTTACAAGAGTTGCTGTGCGGTTGTTAAGAATATCCAGAGATGTGTTTATGCTATTCCAAATGATTCCATCTTTCCTTCCCATGAACTAATGACTCTCGAGCAAGAGGTGAAAGAGTCTCGACTTTCTCCTGAATCCTTCCGAGGGAAGTTACATGTGAGTTTCACTACTTGCGTTACTTATTGCTTAGAGTCCTTTTCCTCTTTAAATTTTTGTCTTCTCAGGAAATGGCTTCAAAACTGAAGAAGGAAATTTCTCAGCAATTGTTAAAACTCAATGTTTCAAATTATAGCATGGCACTTGTCAAGGTTTGGGTCTTTACTTTTAACTTTTCATGTATTCTAGCAGCACAACTTCTCTTTTGACTCTCTGTTTTACCCTCCTTGCATGAATATCAGAGGAACTATGCATTTGACAGGCCTGATGTGCCTGCTGGCGAACAATATGTTTTGAAGATAAATTATCCATTTAAGGTACATATCAGCTTCAAAACTTTTCTGTTTTTTTTTTTTTTTTTTTTGGTACTCAGCACAATAACACTTTTGTCTTTGTTGTCATAGGATCCTCCACTTCCAGAAGACCTCAAAGGGGAGTCTTTCTGCGCTGTGCTCGGCTCTCATACCAGGTTTTGGCGTCTTACTGCTCAGTTTATTTACCTTTCCCTGTTTTTGATAGTCGATTATTTCAGTTTGCATTTACTTTTCCCTTTGTAAGCTTCTTAGTTAACTATGTGTGCCCGCTATGTCAATCTAGCACAGCGCAATTTCTCTCTCTGTATTAATCTTATCTATATGCAGTGCTCTGGAGCTTTTTATCCTCAAAAGGAAGATCATGGGACCTTCTTGGCTGAAAATTTCAATCTTTTCTGCCACTTCACCATCTCAGCGAGTAAGGCCTTGAATAACTACCTTGGTCATCCTTACTAGTGATTTTTCCAATAATGAGGACTTGACACTTGTGCAGGTGAGCTGGTGCAAGTTTGAGGTTACTGTTGAATCCCCCAAGGTTATCACTGTTTCAATTCCGCAGGAAAAAACGGTTCATCCTCCTGCCGTCGTTACAGCCATTAACTTAAAGACTATCGTCAATGTAAAGCAGAACATCAGCGAAATTGTTTCCGCGTCTCTTCTCTGCTTTCACAACGCCAAGGTTTGCTCTATATCATTTGACTAAAGCTTCTTAGCCGTTGTTTCTCTCTCTGAGTAATATGGATGTTTCCATGAGTGTGGTTATGCTACTACATTCTTAAGTATGATCATGACATTACATTACCAGTCACAAGTAGTTATTTGTACCATCTGTGCTTTTTGTGTTTATGCTGGTTTCTGGACGACTTTCTCTTATGTCATACATGAGTAGCTTGACATTTGGTGTTCCTTGGTCTCTCAGATCGATGTTCCAATGCTGGGTCCAGAAAGAAAGCGATCTGGTGTTCTGAGTCATTTCACTGTTGTCAGGAATCCTGAAGGAACCGGCTACCCAATCGGTTGGAAAAAAGAAGTGGCTGTCAGAAATTCAAAGAACGGCTGCAGTGTTTTAAGTTTTGAAAACAGGTATTTCGCAGCTCTGTTACTGCACAAGCTGTGCTTATGATCCATATATATCTCTGGCAATTCATGTTGCATTCATCCAACATTTGTTTTCCTTTTCTTACTGCAAGTGAAAGAGCATTGCTGAACCGATTGTTTCTGGAGTTGAACAAATTGGACAGTGATGTTCTTGTGGGACATAATATATCAGGTTTTGATCTGGATGTCCTTCTCCAAAGAGCCCAGGTAAAGCATATACTCTTTTTTTTTCCGTCAAAAAAAAAAAAAATGGCCGACTCTTTCATTTTTCCCCCTATGATGTGCATTTTCATGAACACTCCGATAAACTATAGCATGCTCCGGTAGACGTGGTGCTATATTAGTTTTGTAAGGACTTCTTGGCTTCTATGCAGAACTAACATTAAATAAGCCAGCAAGTTCTTATTTTATGCATTGTACATCATTTACTCCCTTTTCTCAGTCTATCCTGTCGTAACATAGATACGAACATAACTTCTGTTTTTCTCTAAAAACTGAATGATTACCCTGCAGGCTTGCAAAGTTTTGAGTAGCATGTGGTCCAAAATTGGCCGTCTCAAACGCTCTTTCATGCCTAAGCTTAAAGGGAGCACTAATTTTGGGTCCGGAGCTACACCAGGGCTTATGTCTTGCATGGCTGGAAGACTCTTATGTGATACAGATCTATGTTCTCGTGACTTGTTGAAGCAGGAGGTATGATGCTCAACCTTATACGCAGTGAGCTGAAGCTTCGTCCCTCACTTATAAGCTTCTTGTTGTTGCAGGTCAGTTTTTCCTTAACAGACCTTTCAAAGACACAGCTGAACCGGGAGAGGAAAGAGACATCGCCTAATGATATTCCCAAAATGTTTCAGTCATCTAAAACACTTGTGGAACTTGTAAGTTCTTTAGTTTGTCCATTCATGTCTGTTTTATGTATACGAACTGGTACTACCTCACTAGAGACGATAGTTGATCCAGTCATACGTATAAGTAAAGGAGTTGCAGATAAACATCAGTTGACGTAAGGTTGATAAGTGATGACTGCATCTTAGTTGCTTGGTTGCTATAACCTTTTGGTTTTCTTTGGTCCAGATTGATTGTGGTGAGACAGATGCATGGTTATCCATGGAACTCATGTTTCATCTAAGTATTCTTCCTCTCACGCTTCAGCTTACCAACATAAGTGGCAATCTCTGGGGGAAAACTCTTCAGGTAATGAATGACTCCTGTTCTAGCTTTCCTCTCTCTCTCTCTCTCTGAAACGCTATCTGGTGACTTTCGAATTCTTTTTTTGTTCATTACCAGGGAGCCAGGGCGCAAAGAAATGAATACTACTTACTACATACATTCCACTCGAAAAAGTTCATTCTCCCAGACAAAATTCCGCAACATAGGAAGGAAAGAAAGGCATCAAAAAGAAGAATAAATCATGGTCCAGAAGACCACAGTGTAGATGAATTGGATTTTGACTTGGCTTTGGAAAATGATCCGTCTAAGGGCAACAAAACAAAGAAGGGTCCAGCCTACGCTGGTGGATTGGTCTTGGAGCCAAAGAAAGGCTTATATGACAAATATGTGTTGCTTCTCGATTTTAGTAGTCTTTACCCGTCTATTATACAGGTTAGCAGACTGTTTTCTATTTCTTAAGCCTTGGATGGCTGTTTCCACTTGGTAAATAACGGTCATTGTAATTTAAGGAATATAATATCTGTTTCACGACTATACCACGAGCAGAAGTGGGAGTTCCTCGTTTACCTTCTAGTCAGACACCTGGAATTCTTCCAAAGGTATGTCTACACTAGTTTCCTTCTATTGTGACTTCTCTCGGTTCCATACTCGATCTTTTTTGGTCTTCAAACACCAAATCTATAAGTCAGACCAACCAAACCAGATATTAATAGAAAGAAACAAAAACTCAATTATATTGTGCCTCGTTTTCTCTCAAGGTATATGCGGAAAGTTCTCATAATAATGCGACGACTTTGATTTTCTCTCCAAGTCTGTTATGCCAAGTCTAATAAAGATTAGATCATGACTTTCACAACATGTCTTTGTTTTAGTTGATGGAACATTTGGTCGGTATAAGGAAATGCGTCAGACTAAAGATGAAGAAGGAAACCGGTCTCAAGTGCCGGGAGCTTGACATTCGGCAGGAGGCATTAAAGCTCGCAGCCAATAGGTTTGTATTTATGGTTTTAGCTTTTGCTGGCAATAATGCCCATTCACAACATTTTTTGATATTAATGTTTCATTCTAAACGCAGTTTGTATGGATATCTTGGGTTTTCTAATTCAAGATTCTACGCCAAGCCTTTAGCAGAGCTCATAACACTACAGGTAAGTTTTGTTTTCTGTGTGTTTCTAGTGATAAATTTTTCTTTGCTTTTCTCTGTTCTCATGTGATCCGGTTAATTCCCAAACATTGCAGGGAAGGGAGATCCTGCTAAGAACCGTGGATCTTGTCCAGAATCATTTAAACCTAGAGGTATCTCCATACATTGAGTTGCATGAAACCACTTCAGCAGAGAAGTTAATGTAATGTGTCAACATTTCTGCTTTATCAAGCGTAAAATTGAGCTTCTTGCTTTGTTATGCAGGTGATTTATGGTGACACAGATTCAATCATGATTCACAGTGGACTAGATGATATCGAAGAGGTCAAAGCCATTGGAGCAAAAGCCATCCAAGAGGTAGGTTGGATAATAGATTTATCTCCAGCTTTTTACCCTTAACTCAAACCTTTCTATGAATAAACCAATATGCATTAAATGTTTGCAACTTTGATGTTCGGTTTCTTGATGCATGAAACATCACGCAATGGAGAACTCAAATTGGTATAACTGTTATTGGGGAGAGTGCTTTTTGGAGCAAAATTACAATGTAAAATAGCAGACATTTGATTTGGGTCTCACCTTCTCTTCTTCAATTTCTAGGTCAATAAGAAGTATAGATTTCTGAAGATTGAATGTGATGCCATATATAAGAGAATGCTTCTTCTTAGAAAAAAGAAGTATGCCGCCATCAAGTTGCAGTTCAAGGACGGGAAGATTTGCGAGGTAATTTGTAATTTATACATTCTGACTACCTTTTATTTTAAACAATGGTTGGGTACTAGATGCATTCTCAATGCAGGACATTGAAAGGAAAGGTGTGGACATGGTTCGTCGAGATTGGAGCTTACTCTCCAAGGAAATTGGAGATTTATGCTTGGCTAAAATCTTGTATGGAGGGTATGTTCTGGAACATTCACTAAAAGCACTAATTTTACTCTCTCATACAAAGCACAAAAAAATCCTGTCTTCCTTGCAGGTCGTGTGAGGATGTTGTTGAAGCAATTCATAACGAACTTATGAAGGTAATTAGTTTGATAATTATTTTGCTCTTCTGTATCATTCAGTACATGATACTTTGCCCATGCAACAGATAAATGAGGAAATGAGAAATGGGCAAGTTGCAGTTGAGAAGTATGTCATCACCAAGGCATTGACTAAGTCACCAGAAGCATATCCAGATTCCAAAAGCCAACCACACGTTCAGGTGAGTATGAGAACCTATTATTCGCACTATTGCTCACCGGAATTATGCTTAGAAATTTGTAGTTGTCACATTTTCCCGAACTCTGATAATGCGTTTGAATCTTTTTTTTCTCAGGTCGCACTCAGAATGAGGCAACGTGGTTATAAAAAAGGTTTCAGTGCTAAGGATACCGTACCGTATATAATTTGCTATGAACAGGTTCCCAACGCAGAAGACCAGCTTAATACTACCGATACCAGGTCGCCTTTCTACTAAATTTCTTACCCCCCTTCCTCATTGCAGGGTAATACTAGCTCAGCAAGCTCAGCAGGGATTGCCGAACGTGCTAGGCATCCTGCTGAGGTGAAATCAGACGACAGCAGATGGTTGGTTGACATAGATTACTACTTGGCACAGCAGATTCATCCGGTGGTATCTCGTTTATGCGCAGAGATTAAGGGCACAAGTCCTGAGAGGTTAGCCGAGTGTTTAGGACTTGACCCATCAAAGGTAAAGCTTTCATTTAAGCCAATTTCCAATTCCATATATAATGATTGGGAATAATGTGTTCTTTCTTCTAGTATCGAAGCAGGTCAAATGTTACTACGGGCAGTGATCCTTCTACATCCCTCTTGTTTGCTACAAGCGATGAAGAAAGGTAATAATATCTTATCCCATTTGTAGTGTGCTTTCATGCTTCCTTCCTATAATATATTTTCACCAGGATTTGCGTTATTCTTAGAATTTAATATCTGTAATTTACACAGATATAAAAGCTGTGAGCCGTTAACAATAGCATGCCCTAGCTGCTCAGCTGCTTTCAACTGTCCATCGATTACTAGCTCGGTTTGTGCGTCGATCAGTAACAAATCCAAAACAGCGGAATCTGATTCTATATTCTGGCTTAAACTGCATTGCCTGAAATGCGAAGCAGAAGGTAGCACGAGAAGAATATCCCCTGCAATGATAGCTAACCAGGTAGGCAAAGCTTTGTTGAAAAGGATCCATAATTTCTACGTTTGCTCGAATTAAAATTCGTTATTAGAACAAATGCTTTGGTAATTAACTTATTATCAATGCATTTCAGGTGAAAAGGCAGATTGATGGGTTTGTGTCAACGTACTACAAAGGCATAATGATGGTGCACATAAGACCTTGTCACTTACCTCGTTTATATCTGAACACCTGTTGTTAATAAGTCATGCTTACGAAATGTTTCTTGTACATTTTGCCTCCAACAGTGTGACGATGAGTCTTGCAAATACACGACACGCAGCCCCAACTTTCGTCTGCTCGGTGACCGTGAACGGGGAACAGTTTGCCCAAACTATCCTAACTGTAATGGAACCCTCTTAAGAAAGGTATAAGCCCTCATGCTCCTTGTTCTCCTTTCTGTTGCTTTATATAACAAGTTTTGACTCCCAGCCTTTGACTTATTACAGTACACTGAAGCAGACTTGTACTGGCAGCTATCATACTTTTGCCACATCTTAGACACACAATGCTCTCTAGAAAAGGTTTCTACTTTCAACCTCATTGCTTCTAGTGTAAGTGTTATATCACAATCAATTTCTCTTCTCTAGATCCCTAATAACCTCTCTGGCTGCAGATGGATGATGGTGTCAGAATTCAAGTAGAGAAAGCAATGATGAAGATAAGACCTGCGGTTGAGTCAGCAGCATCCGTGGCTCGAAGTATACGAGACCGGTGTGCCTATGGATGGCTGCAACTGACAGACATAGCCATTTGATAATTGTAATAACCATTTCATGTAGTGATTTATATCTTCTTCTGACATCCTTAATTAAGCTACTCGGTTCTGTTCACACCTAAAGCGTAGTATTATCGTAGCACTTTGAAAATTTATCCACTACAAGACTCGAACAAACATTTTTGACTCCTGTTTTTATGGTAGGTACTAAGTGGAAAAGCACATTTCCTGAGTTGCTTCAGGTACTTAACGGTTAACCAGCGAGTGAAAACCACCAAGCAGAGTCTTGTGAGGAAATTTCGGTAGATTTTAATTTGTCTTCATTTCATTATTTATGAAAGACCAAGCAATAAAATATATCCCATTAGTTATTGTCATCGATATAAATGTTGTGAGAGTATGCAAATGTATATATACTTCAACAAGTTATTAAATTAAACAAAAATAAAAAGGAATAAAAAAATAAAAAACATACAATGACCCAGCATTGCCTATCACGCTTTTTATGTCGACGGTTTTCCGTATCCAAAATAACGGACGTTGTGATATTTTGAGGTTAAAAAAAGAGAATTTATAGTAAATAGCCATGGATTCAAAAAGAATTAAGAAAATAGCCATGAGCTATAGTACTTTGTCTGTTGGATGTCGGAAAGCACGTGAAATTACACACATTCCCTTTATAACATGTTTTTTTCTCGAATTACATGTGATAGAATAATATATCTCTTTTTATCATATTATTTTCTGGTTTTACACGTTATTTATAAAGAGCACATGATATTTTTTGAAAAAACACTCTATTCAGTTTAATATCTTTCTCTATCATGTTATTTTATAGTAATACACGTTTTTAACACTCTATTCAGTTTAATATCTTTCTCTATCATGTTATTTTATAGTAATACACGTTTTTTATTATGATCACATGTGATTTTCTTTAAAAAACGATTCTTATTTTCTAGTAATTCACGGTTTTTATTAAGATCACATGTTATTTCTTTGAAAAAAACACTCTATTCAGTTTAATATCTTTCGCTATCATGTTATTTTGTAGTAATACACGTTTTTTATTATGATCACATGTAATTTCTTTATAAAAAGATTCTATTCAAGTTTAATTTTTCCGTAACAATGTTTTTAAAAAAAAAACACTACGTAACAATGTTTTTTCTTAAAAATTCACTACGTTTTTTTAAATAGCATGTATTTTAGTTAAATATAACATGTGAAATTTAGATCTTATGTGCTATTTTGAAAAATATCACGAAACAATGTCGCCTACTGTAGATCTCAAAACAAACGGAGGATGGTTTTGTTATTTCACCTCTTCAGACAAGGTGGGTCCATGCTGTTTTCCGACATAATTTTCTCTCTCTGCTAGTTTCTTAATTTATGTGTCAAATTTGGCTAGTTAGTAATATTACCCTAAAAAAAATTCCCACTCGGAATCAAATTATAGTTTTGGGTATGTTCGAGTTTTTGGGATTTTTATGTTCTAGACAATAAGTCTTCTTTGGAATCAAGTTATATTTTGGTCCTGTTTGGTTTGGTTTTAAGCAAATAAAAAAGGGTAAATCACATTTTTAACCTTTAAAGTGTCACTGGATAGTACTTTAAACCTCGAAAAATTTTCACTAACACTATAAACTACCAAAATAATTTTACTAACACATTAAACCTCCAAACTAGCTTTCATGTTTGTACTGCTATAAAATATGATGGAACAATTAATTTATGTTGGTTTAATATAAATTTCTTTAATTTAATTTAATTTAAATTTAAATTAATTTTATTATTTATTATGATTTTACGATTATTAAGAAAAGTAAAAAAAAAAAGTAGATTCCTCCAATACGGAGAATACTTCGTTTTCTGACTAAACTTCAACATTCTTTGGTTTTTATTATTCTATTTAAGCTTCTCTTGTACTTCATATTCTATATTATTTGGTTTCTATTATTATACCATAAACTTCTCTTGTACTTAAATCTATAGTTTTTGGAGGTTTAATTTTGAAATTTCATGGTCGAACGGTGAGTAAACAAAGAAGGTGAAGTTTTTTTTTTTTTTGTCGTTTTTAGATTTTTCTTAATTGTAAAAAATAATATAATGAATTTAAATTTAAGTTAAATTAGATAAATGTATATTAAACAAATAGAAATTAAATTTTCCATCATTTTTTTATGGCCGGACAAACAGAAAAGCTAGTTTGGAGGCTTAAAGTGTTTGTAAAATTATCTTGGTGGTTTATAATGTTAATGAAATTCTTTCGAGGTTTAAAATGGTACGCAGTAATACTTTGAGGATTAAAAATGTGTTTTTCCCAAATAAAAGCTATATATAACGCAAATAAAAAACAACAATATATTTAAACATAAAATTCCATTTATATAATTCAAAATATTAATTTTTTTTAAAGAATTGTGTTGAAATATAAATAGTACCATCTCCACCTAAGCCCAGTAAAAAAAAAAAAAAAAAGAGGATTCATAGGTGGCATGCCACTCCCCCAACTTGGGAGATAAGCTTAATTGACATGTCGCCATCAAAACGTTCTCGTACGTTAACATTCTTATTTCAATGATACTTTAAATCGATCCAATTAACATAAAAGCAAACCCGAACCACTCACTATAGTAACAAAAAAATAAAGAAATAGTAGTCGAACAGTCCACCAATTTCAATAATCTGCAAAAACTTATTAAATCATTTATTTTAAAATAATAATATGACATATTTGGGAAAATCAAAAATTAATCACACTTAGCTTAATTAGAGAACTAAGAATGCAAGGCCATCATTTCTACAAGACAAACTGTATATCTGTAAATGGTAGATGATGATGAAGGATTTTCTTATGAAACACAATCGATATCAAAACTCGGTGAAACAATAACTGATTTACTGTAGTAGTTCTTGTAGTATGACAACTACTTTGTAGTATAATAATTCTTTGTTTATTTTGTTGATAATTCACCTACAACTATTTTGTTTATTTTGTTGATAATTCACCTACAAGTCGTCATCGTCTTCGTCCGAGGAGTCGTCGCCATTGTCCGGCAAGTTGTATTCAGGTGGATGATTGTACCAAACATTTTCATCGCCGTTGTAAAACAAAGCTAGTAAAAAGAGAAGTGACATTTTTGAGATTTTTTTTTTTCCTTTGTGTTATTTTTGTGAGAGTTTAGATTGGCAAACCTCCCTTTATATAGGGGTTACAAACACTCAACACCCATTCGAAGTAAGTTAAAGTATAGAGATTCCATTGAAATCTAGATATATGTCTCTCTCAACAAATTAAATTTTTTTAGTTGAATGCTTTTGAATATTGGATGTACTTTTCAAATTATTTCTGCAAAGAACATGTGAGCTCACTATGGGCCTATTTTCTTTCTGCGTGGTTCCAAGGTTTCGAGTGAAATGCAACGTCCCCGCCTTAAATAAAATAAAAAATATCCCCTTTTTGAAGGTCCAACCTGTAACCTTAATCCCACAAGTAATTCACATTTAACTAATACTACATTGGAATAAAGGCAGCCGATTAAATAGAGGTATGATTGAGCGGCTTTGTGTAAAACCTAGAACTATCAACAACATAAATATTTCTTCGCCGTAACACTCTTCTCGTTCTCTATAACAGAAAATATCTTAATCCTTTTTTTGCTAAACAAAATATCTTAATCCTTGTTATCAAAATTTTAAATATAAAGAAAATGAAGAAACGCAATTCATTAAACAAATGATAATTGTGGGGAGTGAAAATGGCAGCTTAGAAAGTGGCAACTTCTCCGCACTACATGCTAAGTGCTAACTTCACATTGTGCCCCACGCTAATTTTTAAGCTGTATAGATCTTTGTCCATAATGTCGCTCCGCTTCTTTCTAATAACAACCCCCTTTTGTGTTTAACTTCTATTGAATTAGGAACTAAGAATCAAACCTTAATGTTCAAGACTTTGTGTTATAAGAACAACTTTTCTTATTACCTTTGAAACTTACTCAAAACAAAGGTTACACACAATCTCTCAATCTCATAAACTTCTCATAGGGTTACCACAATCTAGGTACCTCTATTTATACAAAACCAAAGTCCTAAACACACTAGGATTAGATAACTCCTAACCTAGCTAAATCTTATCCCAAATCTATTAACTAAACCGACTTGTTTAGTTTATTCTTGGGCCTCAAGTCTTTTAAAGTTTATCAAGTTTGCACAACATTCTCCCCCTTCAAACTTGATATCTCCAATCTTCACATCATGAACACCTATAAGTTCCCTCATCTCTTTGAACTTAATCCGTCCCAATGCCTTAGTTAAAATGTCTGCCTTTTGCGCATCCCCGGGAACATGTTCTAGCTCAACTTGATCATTCTCAACACATTCCCTAATAAAATGATACCTTTTATGAATATGTTTACTTCTGCCGTGAAACACAGGATTCTTGGCAAGTGCTATAGCAGATTTGTTATCTATCCGGAGTAACACCTTGTCACACGTTTCTCCCATAACCTCACTCAGAAGATCCTGCAACCATATCGCCTGTTTTGCCGCCTCTGTTGCAGCCATGAACTCTGCTTCGCAAGATGACAAGGCTACTGTGTTCTGTTTCTGCGTACACCATGTAATGGGACAATTATGTAGATAGAAAATGTGGCCTGTAGTACTTCTACCATCGTCCTCATCTACATTATGACTGCTATCACTATAGCCTAGGAGTCTTGTTTCAGGTTTAGGTTCTGTCTTTCTAGCAAATGTTAAACCATAACCTGTTGTTCCTTTCAAATACCTGAGAATTTGCTTGAGTGCTGCACCATGAGACTCTTTGGGCTCATGCATGTATCTGCTTAATACACCAACACAAAAGGAGAGATCTGGCCTAGTATGTAGCAAGTACCTCAAACATCCAATACTTCTCCTATACTCTGTTTCATCAATATTTTTTTCTTCTGATGCCTTACTCAGTTTCAGATTTGCATTCATTGGTGAGTGAACCGCATTACAGCCTTCCATTCTGGTTTCACTTAGTATCTTAGATGCATACCTCTCTTGTTTCAGAGTAATGCCTCCTGCATGCTGATGTACCTCTATACCCAGATAATAAGTCAATTTTCCCAAATCGCTCATCTCAAACTTTGTTGCCATGCCCCTTTTAAACTCAAGTATCACATCCAAGTTTGAACCCGTGA